TAAACCCTAAACCCCCAAAACTCCGAGGTGCCTTCCATGGGCTTGATCCTCCTGGTTTCCGGGGCGATTCAGGCGAGGACCTATCCATGGCGCACGGAAACCGCGAACCACGTGGAGCTGATATTGACTCTGTGGACTCGAGAAGGTTTTCGGGCTTAAGGTTTAGGTTTAGTGTTTAGGGTCTAGGGCTTAGGGTGAACCACGTGGAAGTGAGGCTGACCGGTTGGATCCTATAGCGGGGGATCTGCTGTAGGGGCCGCAACAACCAGAAGGGGCATATTATACGATGAGTAGAGTAGGTTACAAACCTCCATATTGACTGGGGTACAGAGCTCAGAGGGGTTCTTAGTTCGGAGGAGTATTACCCCGGTCATGGAAACCAGTTGTTCCACCATCCACTTGGGTTTAGGGTTTAGGGATAGCATCATAGACACCAAAACCCTATTCTGACGGCTAAGCGCCCTGCATTACATGGGGTATATGAGGCATCGATTTCACGGTAATTTCCTAAACGCTGAATCCTAAAGTGAACTGACCCTATATCTCAAAGTCTTGACCCCCAAATCCTGAAGCTGAATCCCAAACCCTACACCCCGAAGTAAAGCCTTAAACCTAAACCCCTATTAAGGATTGGCCTCCTGCTCCTCATGCTGCTGGCCGCTGCGCCGTTGCTCAGCCACGATCGCGATCGGTCCTCCACCCTCTTGGGCTGGCATCTTGGCTTATAGTCCCAGAACCCTACCTTATAGCTTTTTTAAGGACTTATACAAGAAAACTCATAATAAGGTCCTAGAACCCTACCTTAACTCTTTTAAGGACCTACATAAGAAAACTCATAATAAGGACCTAGAGCCCTAGCTCAACTTTTTTTTAAGGACCTATATAAGGAAGCTCAGAATAAGGAGCACTATCAAAGAGGGTTCTTCACAGAAGGGATCCTGCAAGCCCCAGTTTTTTGAAGAAAAGGCCCCTAAACCACGACAAATCTTTGTCATAGTTGGGTAACATTTTGCATGTTTAAGGGTACTTAAACCCAATAAGGAATATACAATTAAATTTTTAGTACTACCCCAACCATGAACTAGAAATGATTGAAATCCTAAACTTGTTTTTTCCTTGGAACGGTCACAAATATCAGAGCAACATGAGAGAGGCAGAGAGAAGGAGCTACAAAGAACCCGCGCAGATCCAAGAACCCTCATAATATAGAGAGCCCTTGAGAAAAAGCCCTCGAAACCCTAACCCAAAAGGCCCTAAACCCTAAACCTTACAACCCAAATCCTAAAACCTAAAAGCCGTAAAACCTAAACCGCAAGAAGGATCCTTTGCCTGCCGGTGATCGGAGTGCTCCTGGTCGGGTCTGTGGCGCTCTTCCGGGCACTGGCGCGGCATGTGTATCGCCGACGGCTGTACGGCATCTTCCTCTGCCATCACAAGGCCAAAGTTGAGGGTTTTAGGGTTCTTTGACGGGGTCTATAAAGGGTTCTTGAGGGTTCCACAGTGACACACGGATTAGATCCTACTGCTGATATCGTCTGCGTACAATAAGGTGCTTCCTATACCATCGCAGGGCCAACGTTTGGTGTAGCAGGGTTCGGGCATATAGGGAATCTAATGGTGCTTCGTATGCCATCACAAGGCTGGTCTGCAGGGATGCTTTGACAGGGTCTACAAAGAGTTTTTAGAGGTTCCTCAAGGGGTTCTGCAAAGGGTGCTTCCTATGCCATCACGAGGGGGGGGGGGGGGGGGCNNTAGGTTAGGGGAACGTAAGGATTAGAACAAGGTTTGCGGGGGTACAGACCTTATAGCAAGGTGGTTCTGATGCCCATCATTAGGCCGGTGGTTAACATACGGCAACCTAGGATTTCAACAAGCCTTTGGTGTGTGCTTCCTATGCCATCGGAGCCTATGGTTGACATAGCCGAACATAAGTCTTGCGGTCTACTCCTAGTATAACTGTATAGGGTGACTATGCAGGAACAATACAGCTAATTATTGCGGGAGGTCCTTGTTAAAGGACTTCTGTTAGATACCAGGTGGTGACGTGCAATTCTTAGGATGACAGGTTTTTGTTGCTGTGCTATGACTTTAAGAACTTCTAGTGCGACAGGGATCTGGGAGTAAGGTTTCTAGAGTTGGGGGCTAGGTGGGGTCCATGGGTTTTGGGAAGGCTGCATGATTGAGACCTAAGGCCTAAATCCTAAGTCTAAACCTTAAGCCCGTAACCCCTTAAGCCCTAAACCTCGAAGTCCCAAACCCTAAACCTTAAACCCTAACCCAAACTCTAGCCCCCCTCAACCCGGCGATCTGAAGCTAAGCCCCTGCAGGGTGGCGCCGGCAGTCTCTGTCGTCTGTTGAAGATCCCTGGCCACGTTTGTGAGATCATTATTTCAGGGGTTTAGGGTTTTTGGTTTAGGGTTCAGGGTTTAGGGTTCTAGGATGAGGCATTTAGGGTTTCAGGGTTTAGGGTTTGGGGTTGTTTCCCTGGCTGTTATGAGGGAATGAGGGCATGGATCCCTATGGTGTGATAGCCCCTATATCGAATTCCCCGATTCCTTACGAAGGACCAGGGTCATGTTTGTGAGATGTTTCTTCAAGGATTTTGACTTAGGCTTCTGGCTTTAAGGCTCCACAGGTTCATTCTAGATCCCAAAGCCCTACATTGAAAATCCCACACACTGAAGCCTGACCTCCCATGTCCAATATCCTACACCCTCAAGCCTAAGCGCCTTGAGGCTTCTGGAACTTTCGAGCCCCCTCTTGCTACAGGATCTGTTTAGGATTTACAGGGCTTAGAGTCTAGGGTTTAGGGCTTGGGGGCCTGGGAGAACGCCTGCATTGGCAGACATTCATCCCACATGTCGCAAAACACACATCGTTTACCTTCTCAATCTGTAAGGTTGTTGGGGTGCCACTGGCACGTTCCATGTCGTGTTCATGCATATGACATATGATATGCATATGTGCACAACCCTCCCAAAACGCACCGAACACCCAGTATCCCAGAGCTGCATCATCCGTGCACCTGTTGAAGACTGAACAATGACTTGTAGTTCACTGATACTAGTCCTTTCAGTGTTCCACAGTATATGTGTAGTACAAGAATACAAGAACTCCCAAGACAATGCTCTCTCATTTAAGAGCCCGTCCTACCGGGTCCTACCGAGCCCCAACTACAACAATCTCACGCACGACCAAGCCTGAGAGCCCATTATTTCTTCGAAGCCAGCCATACAAGTCTGAAGGTTCTTGAAAACATAAACTTAGGGGCTGAGTAGGTAACCTTTAACCTTTTGGGCCTTATGTAATCCTACTATAATTGAAAAGATTAACCTTTTTTGGGCTAGGATACTCAGCCCCTAAGTAAAAGCCTTCCCTACAGCACACCCAAAGTCCCCCAAAATCGGTGCAACACCCAGGAGTGCTAATCGAGACCCAGAGCCTCAAGGAACTTTATCTCACCAGAACCCCTACTACGGACCTTTTCTCAAAGTCAGCCGCCCTAAACCCTAAACCCTAAACCCTAAACCCTCAACCCTAAACCCTAAACCCTAAACCCTGAAGCCTCATCCCTCGAGGATCTTGATCGCTAGAAAAACGGAGACGCGCGTGTTCTTGGATTGCGACCAACTCGAGAACCTGGACCCGCCGAGCTCCGCTTCAGGGTTGCTTTCTGGGTGTTGTGGGATTGACACATATTTGTGCATGTATGTATGTATGCATGTATGTATGTATGTATGTATGGATGTGTGTGTATATATATATATATACATATAGAACTTTATAAAAGATTATCTCTAACTACAGATGATTGAAACTGAAAAAGTACACATGTAGACACATAGCTCTAGCTATATAGCTCTGAAACTACATAACCACACAGCTATACGGCTACATAGTTATCTAGATACCAAGCTGTGTAGGAAGCCGTGGTGGTACGGCAAGCTGGCCCGCCTGCCTCTGCTTTGTAGCCCGCAGCCTTGAAGTTCTTACACAACCCTTATGGGTTCCCATAAGGGTTCCTTTAAGGGTCCCTTTAAGGCATCCTTTAGCCGTTCCTTTAAGGGTTCCTTTAAGAGTTCCTTCAAGGGCTCCGAAAATGCGAGCCTGGGTTGGACCCCAAATACTACGGTGTCATTAATTCATACTTACGGATATCCTTAGGTTTCAGAAGCCACCCCCAGGGAAGTCCTTTGAAAAGCAGCCGCATGCCCAGCGCTGACAGGACTTCCTCTTCGACATCGTTCGCACGGCTACGAGGACCGCCCTTCTTGAGGTTTCAGGAGTTCGGGTTTTTCGTTTAGGGTTTAGGGGCCTAAATAAGTACCAATGCTAGTATGGGGGGTTCCTTACTACAATATAGCATAATGGTCCCCAAAACCGTATTCGAATTACCAAGGCCCTTATATTCGGGGTTTAGGGCTTCGGGTTTAGGGTTTAGGGTTTAGGGCTAATTAGGGGTTCCTGAAAGCCTGACCGCTTGAACGTCCTTCCGTTTCTTGTAGGGGAGTTGCTTAAAAAGAGGGAAAGCCGCACTCTCTGAACATGCACCTTGAGCCCCAAGCCCTTAATACTTAACCCAAAAAGCATCTGAGCGACAGTGTTTTCTGATCCTAGTCTTGGTGATCCCGCACCCAACACCAGGAGCATCGTCGTGGTGCTGACATCAGAGGTGCTCAAACGAGTTCCGCGGAGCAGTTGGGAATCCAAACCCCGAACCCCCAGAGAGATCCGACCCTAACTGAACCCTCACCCCTAAACCCTATAAATCCTATAAACCCTAAAGCCTAAACCTAAACCCCTAAACCCCTAAACCAGAAAAACCCCTAAACCCTAAAGCCGTCAAGCGCCAAACCCCTTCACTCCACATTTTGCATGCTCAAGCTTTCCAGCGCCCCCGCAAAGTCCTGGAGTCTAAACCCTATACCCTAAACCCTATACGAACCTGAAAAGCTATAGCCTAAACCCTATACCAACCTTAAATGTCCTTCGCAAGAACTCCCAGGTTTGGTGTGCAGGCGAGATTGCGACGGCGTTCAAGAACGGGGTCACCACGGCCCCTTGGGCTTTCTCAAGTCGTAACATCCTGCAAGCTTAAACTCTTCTTCGCCCCTAAACCCCTTAACCCTAAACCCCAAAGCTGTGAACCCCAAACCCTAAACCCCTAAACCCCTAAACCCTACACCCCGAGCCCTGAACCCTACACCTTGGGTATTGGGGGAAGCAAAGGTCCCGCTGCAGTGCGACGGCTACATCCCACCGACAGAGGAGGGACGGGAGCTGATCCTGCTCTTGGGGCTGCATTAGGCCAAAAGGTTTAGACTTTAGGTTTACGGCTTTAGGGCTTAGGGCTTAGGGCTTAGGGCTTTGGGGTTAGGGTTTAGAGTTTACGGGTTTTAGAGTTCAGGGTTCAGGGCTTTCGGGTAGTCAAGGGGACCTGACAAGGCCAGGATAGAAGGGAACAAGGTTGTTCATGGAGTCCTACGAAGCTTTTCGTGGGGATGGATGGAGGTTCCCTAAACGGGGAGCTGCATAAGGGGTTCATAGGGGTTAGTAGTGAAGTTTGCACTTCCCATGGTTAAACACGCTCAAGCCATGGACAAGGAGCAACACCCGGCACTCGAGATGGACTTTTCTTCTGAGTTCCGAGGTTTCTCAAACTCCGTATTCGCCCAAGCCTGTTGTGCCCTTCGCCATACACCCACAGCCCACAACGCTAAACTCTAAACCATAGCCGTAAGCCCGAAGCCCCAAACCTTGAAAGCCAAATCGAAGCTGAGGGGGTTAGATTTTTAGGAAATCTCATGGTCAACTGCTCGCTATAGCCTCAAATGTAGTCTCGGTTTTGGGTTACCTTTTGGGATCCTGAATATATGATTGGCTAAATTAAACCAAAAATAGAAGCTACAATGGAGGCTATAGAGTTTTTTCTCGATTTTGAGTTAGGCTTTAGGGTTCGGGATCCTCGTTCTAGTGTTCAGGGTGGGGAGGCAGTCTGAGGAAAGGTGCTGCAGGGTGTTCATAAAGATGCTATTGGGACTTCGTCTAAGAGTGCTACAGGGTGTTCGCAAGGATTCTTCAACTCTTTTTAGAACGGTTTCATGGGGTGTTTGGTGTTTGACTTGGGGTCCGGAATTCCCACATTGAGCATCGAATGTCACACCGATTTTTTCACCAACTTTCCAGGTCTCTCTGGACCAAACAGCAGAAGCAAATGCTCGCGAGCTACGGCATCACCGACGAGGCGATTTTGGCTGCGCTTCCCGGCTGCTGCTTTTTTGGGTTAGGGTTGAGGGTCTAGGGTTATTTGTTTGTCTCACTTAACACCAATACTCTGCAATCTGCACCGCAAACCCTGAACCTTAAACCCTTAAGCCCAACGAGGCAAGCTCAGGTACCGCTGGTTGCACCGTTTAGGGGTTCTAAATAATCACCAATACTATTTTGGGTGGTTCCCTATTGCGCACCTTTATATCTATAGTTTAATAGGCCCCAAAACCCTATACTAATTATCAAGGCCCCCATATTATTCTTTAATCTCTAATCATATTATCCCTACCAAAACCCCAAGCCGCCTGAACCCTTCAGCCGGAGCATCCCGAGACCATTTGTTCATGTACAACGTTTCATAGATCCCTTCTAGAACCCTCATAGAACGTGGTAGACCTGTTTTAGACTTCTAGAGCCCTTGTAGAATTCCTATGGAATTTTCATAGGACTCCTTTAACTCCCATAGAACTTTCATGGAATCCGGATTTATGGTACCCTTGTCGTCCTTTCTGCGCATCTTATTGAACCTTTAGAGACCTTGTGAAACCTTACTATTGTGAAGCGGTTATGGGATCCAAAGCTTAAGATTTAAGCCCAAAGCTGCAACATCCCGAGTCCGGTACCCCCAATCGGCAAGTTCCTATCGCCGAAGCCCATATACCACAGGCCTCAACCCTAAACCATCAACCCCTGAAGCCGCAAACCCTCACCCTCAAAACCAAAGACCCTAAACTAAACCCCGAAGCCCAAAACCCCATCTTAATCCCTCAACCCTGAACCCCATCTTACGCCCTAAGCCCCGAACCCTAAACCCTGGACCCAAAACCAACCCCTACCCTCCTAAACCCCAAAACCCAAACCCCCTAAACCCCAAAGCCTGAATCCTCCGAGCCCAGGTACCACTGGTTGCAGGAGGAGTTGGAACCTATCAAAATGCCTCGATTCGGGCCGGTCGGATTCCCAGCGCAAGGGTTCCATGCTTCTTGTTTCAAGGGTTTAGGGATTAGGGTTTAGGGTTTAGCGTTTAGCGTTTAGGGTTTAGGGTTTAGGGTTTAGGGAGGGTTTCGGGGAGGGTGGGGTGGGTCAGGACTCACAATTCAGATAAATCGCTTCGGGTAGGGTTTTAGGGTCTAAAGCTTCAGGATCTTCCTCGCTGCCCGGGTTTATGTTAGGGGCTTAGGGTTTAGGGTTTAGGGTTTCGGGTTTAGGGTTCAGGGTTTCTTGCGCTGGGTAGTGGCTTTTGTCGCGTGGAAGTTGTGCTGCGCACAAGGGATCCCGAACCATCGCGACCTGGAGCTAGCTGCGGCCGTTTGGGATGGTATGTTGTGGGACCACTGTCCTTTTCAAGGTCTCATAAGGGAAACTACAAGAGAACAATAAACTATAACTTGAATCTAGCCTTTTTAAAGCACTAGGCTTGCAAGTCAAAGCTGCTACGTGCTATATAGGCCATGCCACTCTGTCTGGACTTGTTTGTGGATGTTTGCAGGTGCATCCCAAGGCAGCAGCGACTGACAAAAACGCAGATTATGGAATTTCTGGGTATTTCTGGGTAGAGGATGTGTGGTTTAGAGCTAAAGCTGTTACGTGATAGGTGCTTGCTGCAATGTTGCACGCGTGAGCAGTCCCGTCGGGAAATCAGCCCACACGAAGACGACGCCCAAGTTCAGCCACGCTCGGGTGTTGAAGGCTTGGCCCTTAAAGTCGTGTGGCCTCAAGAATTGGCTTGGGCATGGCTATCTTGGCACGTGGTCGTTAGGCTATCCTGGCGGCATAGTCGGCATAGTCATCTTAGGGGATCCCGGCGTCCGGCAATAACCATTCCCTTATCCTCAAATTTGCCCCACGGGCCGGCAGGCCTGATGTAGGGGCCTAGGATAATTGCCAATACTATATTTGGGGGTTCCTTATGATAGATACAGTATAATATACCCCAAAACCCTATTCTACTTATTAAGGCTCCTACAGTCGGGCCGGCAGGCCTGGACACAAGGTTGAAGCATCTCGGGAGTCTCGAGGAGCAGTCACGAGTCCGTCGGAGCTTGACCAACATAAGTCAAACCCTAAACCCTAAACCCATGGTGCTTTGAGATCTGAAACGCCTTGGCCCGAAAAGCCACAAATCCAAGGCCGTCAAATCCCAAGGAGCTTATATCGCCGTCGCCGCTGAACCCTCAATACCTCCAAAGCCTTGAAGCCTAAGACCCATATGGGTTTCACAACAGAAGACATCGATGATCATAGGGGTTCAGGGGTTTAGGGGTTTAGCGTTTTTTGGGTTTAGGCTGAGCGTTGAGCCTCCCTCGAACCGAGAAGCCCCAACAAGGTCGCGGACAGGGAAGAAGCAGTCTGGGAGCTTTTGGGGCGTGGTGGCATCCTCACAGCGGGGAAGCTGCTTCGCTCGCTAAGTCTAAAGCCGAGTACCTCCAGGAGCGGGTTTTCTTGTTTAGGGTTTAGGGTTTAGGGGTTTAGGGGTTTAGGGTTTGGGTTTAGGGTTTAGGGTTTAGGGTTTAGGGTTTGGGGTTTGGGGTTTGGGTGTTGAAGGGGTCGTGTCGACTTCAGCACTGTTTTGTTCATCGTCGCCGTTACGGCTGGCCATTGCGAACGTGTGATAGTAGTCCATAGTTTGATAGCAGTAGTCGCTATACGTATGCATGCATGCATGCATGCATGCATGCATGCATGTATGTATGTATGTATGGTATGTATGGTTTGTATGCATGGTATGTATGGTATGTATGGATGCATGGATGCATGTATGTACGCATGTATCAAAGAACAGTCATAGAGTATGCGGAGTGAGAGTGCAGGATCTGTTTTGGTGGAGAACATGCCCTCAAACCATAGACCAAACCTTCAAATCCTAAACCAGAAAACCCGAAACCTTAATATCCTAAACTCTAAAATCCTAAACCCTAAAATCCTGAACCCTATCACCCGAAACCCTAAAACCCAAAAACCCGAAACCCTAAAACCCTCAACCCAAAAACCCTAAACCCCAAAACCCTAAACCCTAAAATCCTAAACTCTAAAACCCTAAACCCCAAAACCCTAAACCCTAAAATCTAAAATCCTAAACCCTAAAATCCTAGACCCCCATCGGCCTCTGTGCTGCTTGATGCGTGCGGGGTCACCGCGAGGAGTAGCTTGTCAACCGCGCGAGCTCGAATTCTGATCATGAGCGCCTCGGAGGGTTTGGGGTTCAGGGTTTAGGTTTTAGGATTCAGGGTTTAAGGATTTAGGGGTTTAGGTTTTAGGATTTAGGGTTTACTTAGGGTTCAGGGTTTAGGTTTTAGGATGCAGGAGGGTTTAAGGATTTAGGGGTTTAGGATTTAGGGTTTACTTAGGATTTAGGGTTTAGGCTTTAGGATTCAGGGTTTAAGGGTTTAAGGTTTAGGTTTTAGGATTTAGGGGTTTAAGGGTTCAAGGTTTTAGGGTTTAGGGTTGGAGTTGTTGAAGAGCCCCTGTTGAAGAGCCCCTACGCGATAGAGGGTCCAGGGCTTCGTTGGTTTAGGGTTTAGGGTTTAGGGTTTGACAAACCCCGAAGCGGCTTTGCAGGATTCGCTTAGTGCTAGTTCTGGCTCAAAACTTGACAAGTTGAACTTTGGGGTTTAGTTTTTCGGTGTTTTGCGCCGTAGCAACCCCCCGTAAGCTTGTCCGAACAACCCCTACATACAAAACTCTGGATTTGACGCAGCATTCCTCTCTACTTCGTTTGAGTTCATCCGAAATTCCAGTGGTCTGCCTAAACCCCGAACCCTAAACCAAAGACGTCCTTGAAACATCCCTAAACCTTAAACCCTTAAAGAAACCCTAAACCCTGAACCCTATCTTGTCTCGAACGACCTTTCTGGGGTATCTAGACGTGCCATGGCCTCGAGCTTTGAACAGTCGAGAGTGGGAAGCGGTCTTGTGGACAGCAGGATGAGAAATTCGAAGACGTCATTTGGAAGCCTTTGTTATTACCAATATCATTCCCCAGGGTTCCTTATTGTAACTATACTGTAAAGGAGCCCAAAACCCCATTCTAATTATTATGGCCCCTACATTAAGCAAGCTTTTGGAGAAAGCTTGCATCAAGTTTTGATTCAGGGAGAGTTGTTGGTGACAGCAGAGGCCGACGCAAGGATCGCAACCTCTGCCCTCTCGGATTCGAAAGCGTTCGATGCTTCCGCAGAGTCATTTCTGAAATGCTACAGTTACTACAGATTCGCTGAGCCGGTGACCCCGAGTCCAACAAGAGCTCGTTGGCAATCTCGTTGAAGGATCAGCAGAAGATAGAGAGCACAGCCCCGGCCCTAAACCCAAAACCCTAAGCCCTAAGTCCTAAATCCTAAACCCTAAATCCTAAACCCTATAGAGCACAGCCCAGGCCCTCGCTGCTTAGAGTTGGCCTGAAACCACACGGGAGTCCCTCGGGAGGACGTTTGCGCCAGTGAGCAGGCCAAGGCCCTTGTGTGGGCCTTGTGCGGTGCACCAACCGCTATGAACAACCCACGGAGGAGCGCCTTGCCGGACTGGTTCTTCCTGTCGAAAGGTGCAGGGTTTAGGGTTTAGGGTTTAGGGGGTGCTAGGGACTTCAGAATGACCATCTCACGCAGTCCGCAGTGCGCAAATGGACAGGTGATGGGACCCAGAGGCCAGACAATTCGATGCATCCAGGATGTGGCGTCGGCCTAAACCCTAACACCCGAAAGCCAAATACAGTCTTATTCGCACTCTTATAGAATGCTATAGAACCCAACCAAATATATACAAAGAACCCTGTCGGAACCCTTGTTGCAAAACACAAACGTGCATAACAAATCCTTTTCAGGACCCTACTCAAACGCCCTAAACACGAAACATACAACATCCCCCACCCCAATTTTCTAAGGAACCCTAAACCCTAAGGCCTGAATCTCTACAGGGATTTTCATAGAGCCATCGTTTAGAAGAGCCCTATCAGAAGCCTTTTTGGACATCCTAAACTACATGGTTCAGGGTTGAGGGTGTAGAGTTCCGAACCTGAACCCTAAACCCCTGAACCCTTAAATCCCCAAACCCTAAACCCCTAAACCCCTAAACCTCTAAACCGATAAACCTTAAGATGCCAAAGAAAGCATCTGCAAGGCTCTGTCTCCGATGCCGAGTGCCTTTCCTCCTGCGAAGTCTTCCAGCTCATGTTGCAGGCACCGGTTTAGGTTTAGGGCCTTGGGTTTAGGGCTTGAGGCTTAGGGTTTGGAGTATAAGGCTTAGGGTGTAGGGTTTAGGATCGGTGTGTAGACGTTTGGGTTGAAGGCGGGCGTTGTTATGTGGATTCTATCAGTGGGCTCGTTGGGGCTTTCCACAGACATGTGTTTTTGGGTTTTGGTGGGGATTTTCGGTCGAAGGTTTCGCGGTTTGGGTTTTGTGATTTTTAAACCCAGGGCCCAGGGTCTTGCATCACGTGAGGTCTGCGGTGGGAGCCGGCGGCTTTTGGGTCAGGGGTTGGGCTTCAGGGTTTCAGGGTTCTGTTTTAAGGGCTAGTGTGCAGCTAGGGCTGCGTGAAGCTTGAGGGCTTTGGGGTTAGCGTTTTGGATGCGGGGGGGTTTATGGGTTAGCGTTTAGGTCTAGGTTCTAAGACGTGTAAGGGTTAAGGTTTAGTGGTGAGGGTTTAGGACGTAGGAGTTGGGGGTCGACCGGCCTTGAGCTTCGTTGGCCTTGGTGTGTTGACGGCGTGGGGGTGTTCCAGCGCTTCATACTGAGATCTGAAACGCTCGGCTAGTTCAAACGACATCATCTATAAAGTTAGCCCAGGCCGAAACCTTCAACCCTCAACCTGAAACCTCGAATCCGGACCCGGCGAAGCATACAAGAGGCGCAGCTCCGTGTCGAGTGCACCGTGGTGCAAAATCGACGTCAGATGTTGAAGTGGAAACCCTTTGCGTACTACCTGGTGACTCGGTGTGCAACTACCCTAAGCCCTAAGCTCCAAACCCTAAACCCTATGTGGGAAGGAGACCTGAGGGATTAGAGTTCAGGGTGAACCCATTTTTGCTTGAAGGAACTAGGAACAGACAAGCCTCAACACTTTTGGGGCTTTATATCTTCTACTATAGAACCCCAAGCCCTAAACCCTACACCCTAAACCCTACACTCTAAACCCTAAACCCTAAACCCTAAACCCTAAACCCTAAGCCCTAAGCCCTAAGCCCTAAGCCCTAAACGCCCTAAAGCCTATGGGATCTACGCCATGAGGTGAGCCCTCTTGGCCTGCCTTTGTTCATTCCTCTCCGGCCGGTTCCATCTCTAAGAGTTGAGGAGTCCTTCCGGTTCGCGGGCGTCTTGGAGTTTAGGGTTTAGGGTTTAGGGTTTAGGGTTTAGGGTTTAGGGTTCAGGGCCAAGTTTAGAATTTAGGGTTGGGTAATATAGGAGCCTTAATAGTTAGAATAGGGTTTTGGGTTCCCTTATCGTACAATAATAGTAACAACAATGATAATCATACCAAAATAGGAGAGGTAATTATTCATGCCCCTATATTATTAGGTTCTTGCGGTTTGACTTTTAAGGCTTCGGCGGAGTAATTACTTCACTGGGCATACATCGTCGTAACAAGACTTGGCATTATACTGAGACACTCTATGTCGCCATCCTTACATAAGCCGTCCCACAAACTGTCAAGATCCAAGTACTCAGACGCAGACGTGAATGTAGTCCCCAGCTCCAGCTTAACCCCACGAGCCGGAAGTTCTAACACATGGAACAGTACTCGAGCCGACCCACTGTCCTGACTCCAAGTGTTGTATTGATAGGGTTATGTGTTGCGAAACTAGGCCCGGACCCCTAAAACCCAAAGGCCTTCAACTTAAACCCTAAAGCCTAAACCCGAAACCGAACGGTAATTTCATTTGATTTTCCACAGCCGAAGAGTCAGCAGCATCCGAAGAAGAGCCCCGTGCCCTCTCAAGCCGCTTAGGGGTTAGGGTCTAGGGGTTTAGGGGTTTAGGGTTTAGAGGCTTAGGGCTTTAGGGGTTTACGGGTTTAGAGGTTTAGTGTTTAGGGGCGCGTATGCATTTATGCTATAAAAAACTTATACGACCCTCATCATTGCATTACAAGCCCTCATGGTGTTGTTTCATTTAATTAAGTAGTATAACCTATCCCGAAACCCATTCTAATCGTCTTACCGATGGCCCCTGATAATAAGAACATTTCTGACACCCTAAACCCTGAACCCCAGAATCCCCCCAGAGCCCTAGAATCCCCCCGGCCCTTAATAGGCCCCTACACTAGGTGGTGCTGCTTTTCCGCGGCATCTTCTCGGATTCGGGATTCGCGCGACTACTCTTGACGGCTTTTTCACCACCAGGACGGTCTTTGGAGGCAGCCTTGCAGGGTTTAGGGTTGAAGCCCTAAGCTGTAGATGGCTTAGGGTTTAAGGCTTGGGGACTTCCTTCGTGAGAACACCAGGTTTTTCAGGGTTTGGGTGTTTTGGGATGCGAGGTGTCAGGTGGGTTTCTTCGGGGCCTGAGGCTTGGGGAGCGAGGTTCTTTCTCCTAGAGCCTACACCCTAGCGCCCTAAGCCTACACCCTAGCGCCTTCTAAGCCCTAAGCCCTAAACCCTAAACCCTAAACTCTACGGTCCGAAGCTGTCTGAACCTCCTCGGCAGGTTTTGACGCTCATCGCTGATGTGCAGTTCGAGTTTCCAAGTTTTGACCTTGACCACAACCCGACGATGAATCCGGACATGGATGCCGACGACGTGGCCGATCAGAGGCAGCTCCTCCAGGTCACCGGGCTGTGTTAGGGTTGAGGATTGAGGGCTTAGGGGCCTCTGTACGAGTTAGCTTAAGGTTGAGAGCTCTTCCTGACAGGGTTCTGTTGGGGTCCTTTGAGGTTTTGAGGGTTTAGGGTTTTCAGAACGAGTCGAGTAGGGTTGCTTAGATGTTATAACAACCATAAGAGTACCGTAAGTGTATCCCAAAATGCGACAGTGATCCAGTATTAATGCATGACCGTACAAGTAGTATACGCGATCAGAGTAATTTCAACTGGGCTCATCCCCTAAACCCTAAACCCGAAACCCAGGCTTCGGGTGTCAGACCTGTGGAGTGTTGGAGGGGTCATTTCGTTGAGACTTGTAGTGGCTTTAGGGTTTAGGGTTTAGGGGTTTAGGGGTTTAGGGGTTTAGGGTTTAGTGGTTGGGTTTCTAGGTTTCGCCATCGTTTCTGGTTCTGAATGCCTCATAAGGCTTGACGGTTTTATACGGTTGAAAGAAGTAAGGTACAGTCTTTGCGTAGGTTTAGAGTTCGGCATTTTCAGCCTATACATCCGAAGGATCTTGTTTGCGCTTTCCCCAAGCCCATGCTAAACCCCCCAAACCCAAAGTGCCCTACACCCCTAAACCCCCAAGAACCCTAAACCCTAAATGCTGAAACCTAAACTCCTAAACCATAAACCCCCAAGCCCTTAAAAACGCAAAACAGAAAACGAAGCCGAGGCTTACAAGAGCCTCGTCACAGTCCTTGCGCTACCGTTCTCACCACTTGCCTCTGAAGGTCGGCTGGGGAGGGGGGGTTAGGGGTTTAGGGTTTAGGTTTAGGGGTTTAGGGGTTTAGGGTTTAGGGGTTAGGGGTTAGGGTTTGGGGTTCGGGGTTCCGGCGTTTAGGGCTTCGGGTTTAGGCTTCTGGAGTCCTTGAGTTCAGGGTCGAAGAGTTTTGGCGTGGTTTAGAGTTCACCTCAACCTGCCAAAACCTTCGTTTTTGGTAGGGTCCCGAGAAATTCAATAGTGGGGTTTCAGAGCAAAACCTCGATGGATTTCTGATGGGTTTGTGGTCGCAGGATTTCAGATTTACGGCTTTGTGTTTGGGGTTTCAAGCTTTTGTTTGTCTGTGTCTCTTCTGCTTCTTCGTTGGCCCCAGAACTCACAACCCCGAACCAAGAGAAACTACCACCCCGAGGTCCTATGATATACCCTACTAAACCTCGCATGAAGCTTCTTCAGCCCATGCTTCTTTTTTATCGACACGGACATAGTCTCTACCAAAACCTTTCTTCTAGGTTTAGGGGTTGGTGTGGTATGATTTTGCATGAGTCTGAAACTTTCAACCTTTGTTTCGTGTGCTATAGGGCAGTAAGAAGAGAACTCGGTGCCTTGGTGGTGCCCTAGAAAGACCTTAGAACCCAAAGCCCTAAACCCAGATAGCTTTTCCCGCAAGGTCTGCAGACGAGGCAGGTTGCCGAGATAGCCGGCCGGATGCACCGATACAAGGACTGGTCGAGGGGCCTTTTCTTTCAGGCTTCATCAACAACACCGTTTTAGAGTTGTTGCCAAGAGTTTTATATCGGTTCCTGGAGATTTTGGAAGTGTCCTATGGGAGCCTTGTAAGGGCTTTCAGTTGCAAGGACTTGTGAATGGGTGGCCAGTGCTTGGTTCAGGGGATTTCTTCATGCTTTGGAGCTTCAAGGGTGCAGTTTTGCGGTAAGGGTTTAGGGTACAGGCGTTCAGGGTATAGGGTTTTATGTGCGGTGTACCCCAAAACCCAAAGCCCTACCCTTAAGGTCCTCCTACAGACCCCTTAAAGTGACCCTTGAATGGACCCTTATATTTTAAGGGGTAAAGGAACCCTTAAGGGGGCTCTTAAGGTGCATCCGCATCTTTTGTGATACGTAGCTCTCGGCGTCGTACCATCGAGCAGCACGGGGCCTGGGACATTTCGCGGCCCGATGCCCCAAAGCCCTCAGGAAGTTCGGATTTTGGCCTCCCTAAACCCTGAAAACCCTATTCCCTAAACCCTGAACTCTCTAAAGCCCTATTTCCCAAAGCCTTCAGATGTAAAGGTAAGGTTATTGGGTCTGTTTGTTTAGATTGTTTACGGCTTGGGGCTTCAAGGTAGCAGGGTTTCATGGTTTGGTTGTTCAGGTGGTAGATTTTGGCCCTAAACTTTAGACCTTCTGCCATGAACCCCAAACCTTAAGCCCCAAAGTCTAAACCCTAAACCCTA